CTCGAGCCTTCTCGGGGATCACGCCGCCATTTGCTAACGCATTGGTTTCACCAACCTTAGAATAAAGTCATCGCATTTTCAGCAACGCGCACCGGTGCCCACCAATCGTCTTCGGTAACTAGGGCACCCTGTCGACGCACTTTTTTTTGTTGTTGTTCTGAGGTGCGCCGAATAAATTAGTGGAGTGGTGCTGTGTTATCCTAATATTCGTTGCGTGCCACGCAAGTAGCAGACTATGAGCAGGCAGACGACGCGCAACGGCTGTATTTCCATTTGCCCCTCCACAGAGGCGTGTTTTGGTGAAATTTTACACTGTTCCGCGAGTGCTCCGGAGGACAATTCCCGAAGATGGTATCAGTTCGAAAGCTCCGCCGGGAAAGCGGACGCCGTTGCGGTCACGAGAACTAGTGGCCATGCAGTAGGATCTTTCTCCAGCGACACGGGGCACGCGTGTTGCGATCGGCGGCGGCGATGTGCAAGCAGCTAACGCGAATGGCGCGCTGTATTTCCACGTCACTACTCGGACTGCTTTTTCCACTGCGTCGTTTCTCGTAATAAAACGCGAGGGTCTTGTATAGGGCACAGCAAGGAGAAGCAGAATAATTTATATTGAGAGACGTGGGCTAACTTTGTGCCAGGCTCCAAAAGCAGCGACCGCAATGACGACTCTAATTCACGTAACTTGTTCGTTTGTTTGTTTATTCATTAAGAAATTTTTTGTGTCAACTCGGTTACACAATTGCGTGGACCAACATAAAAGCTGCTATAAGCAGCTTGAGAAGCACATATATGTAGCCTTCGATCTTTTTCACCCACCGATGACGGGGGCTAGCAGACAAACGATCGTAAGCAAACTTGCTATCCAGTCTTGCACGTTACCCGAGAGAATTCATATTGTAGTGCAAAGAAAAATTACATTTTTATTATTAATGTTACTATTAATAATATTGCATATGGTAGCGATTGTGGGATATGACAAAGGTGACGCTGTTGAATGTATTTTGTTTGTAGAGGTGAAGGTGACGAGGTGAATGTGAAGAGACAGTCGTTTATCCTACAACTTAATTTGAGAGCATTATCAAAGCATACAGTGAAAGGTAGTTCTAACCTGAAACAGAAATAACCCGGAAGAGTGACCAGACGATCGAAACAATTCAAGAACATGTTACTATAGCCGAACATTTAAATCAGGCGTAGTAAAGTGAATCAATTGCATGTCATAATTTAGTCTGAAGTGTGGTATTAACCAGTTATTGTTGACAATGACAGACCTCCGAAGAAATCCGGCGTGATTCATGAGGTGGTACCAAGCTTTGCGTCGCAAAGATAGAAAGGTCACTGCCAAACGCTTTGTCTATGACGTTCAGTGTGAGAGTGACGGCATAGTAACACACTACCATCATCTCTTAATTGCTGGACATAAAGCCTTGATCTCATGTGGAAACTGGGAGCTAGCACGCGGCGTGCATCCGTGGTTGTTCCCAGCAATTCCACCCTTTATATTGACGCTGAAATGTTCATAACCAAAGCGCCAATCCCTATCTCCCCCGCCTAAATGCATGGTGCCATGCTCAGCGTCCAGTTTGGAGGAGTCGCCAGAAATAGAACAGCAAGACGAAAGGCATGCGACGATCAACGCTGTCAATACATACGAATTATTTCCAACCTAGTTGCTGCCTTAAAAACAGTGGATATTTTTGCTTTATATATATTTCCCTTATTAAAAGCACAAACAAATGTGAATGGTGGTGTTTTGCCAGTGAGCATGTTTTGCTACATTCTCTTCATGGTACAGCAACAGCTAGTTTTCTCAATATCAATGTTTTCATTTCTGAACCATAGAGCAGGTAACAGCTGCACATGTCGCTGTCACTTCTCGGTGCAGCGAAGTGCACTAGGAAGTAGCCCACCATGAGTGTACTGCATTTCTTTGTACCTTCGTAAAAAAATGAATAGGTGGGAACGTGCAAAGATGGCCTCTAGCATATCGCACTAGTACTCCTAGAGCACGTGCGCCCAAATTAAAGTGTACCCATTGAGATGAGGAATTTTCATGAAGGCTGCTTAGCTCTTCCCTTACATGGTCTTGTTTCTTTAATAAAAGGAATTGAGAAAGCTGTCGAGGGACTTTTCACAAAACTCCCCTGGTTGACGACCTCTTTTGAATTTTTCTTGAAAAGCTGGAGTTGCTGCTACTGCATCTTTTGATTTATACCGCACATCATGAGAACGTGAGCGTTATGTTTTACTTTGTTCGTGAATATTTCTTTTTTTCTGCAAAAAAAAAACACAATCAGGAGCTCTCTGAAAAGGTGAAAAATGCGAGAAAAAAGGTGAACTTGCTAGAACATTTTGCACTCGGCTCTCGATTGGTAGCGGTCACGAAGACTTGTCTGATAAACAGTGTGAAGCACGCGTTCTGTTTCTTGAAGAAAGGTTTTTTTTTAACTAGTAAAAAAAGATAAGTACTGTTTTTATAGAACATTGTTGCATTTTAGTAAGACAATTTGTTTGAGGCTTTTGCAGACGTTTTGGGCAGTTTTTCGTCCAGGCAAGATGACAGAGGTCAAACTGCTGGCGGTCGTCATAAAATAATTATGCAGAAAGTGCTCATTCACGTAGAGTTTCCTGTATTTAGAGGATAAAGCGAATGCATACAGCGCAAATATAGGCATTTCAGCAATTCTTAGCCAAGTTGCAATGAGCAACACATCCGAGGTATTATATACAAGAGGCCTTGTCCAGTCCACAAATGCGACCCGAGACTGTCGACTGCAAGCGCATGATGAATGATGAAGTTCGATAACAGTGATGAAGTTCAATAACAGTACAACAGGGAAGCCGGCTTGAGGAAAAGCGCTTTGAACCGCCGTGGTAGGCCGCTGTAGCAGACGATGCACCAGAGTAGCGCAAGATCCGGCTGTATGTACTGCGGCTACTTCTCGCGACCGCCGTTTGGCCCATCCTCCTCCCCTAGCGAAAACACGGAGCTTTGAAACTGAGCTTATTCTAATAACGTTGGTCCACATTGTCGGCGCCGCGAGATCATCGTGGCGCGTGCAACCGCCGGCTCACGGCTTCTTGGAGAGAGGCGACACATGGAGAGAGGTGGCATGGGTGCGATTATCCCCACGTGATGAGTGGCCTGGAGTGTTGTGAGTGGTGGAGAGTGTGAAGCGAAAGAGAGCTGACACGCGGCGAGCCAACACCGACTAAATTCCAAGGCCGAAAGGCTGCCGCAGTGACGTCAGAGGGTGGAGGCCCAGTTACGCCGCGAATGCTGCGGAAAGCCGGTGTTTCGTTCGCGTTTTAGGAGAACCAACGCTCCCGCTCTCGCAGCTGCTGCGGCTTGATTGGGCCGAATAAAAGATGTGGAAAAAAAAGTCTTACTGAGCATGCTCAGTTGGGTAACTGGGCCTCCACCCTCCGACGTCACTGCGGCAGCCTTTCGGCCTTGGAATTTAGTCGGTGTTGGGCGAGCGCGCGCCAGGTGAGGGTGAGAACCGTCACTACACACTGCTAGGAGGTCGTGAGTAACTTGGCCATGCTATTACACCTGCGGTGAGGAGACCGGTGCCACGGCCGCTGGATGAAAAAAAAAGTGGCTCCGTATCTGCATGTTACACTACAAATGTTTACGAAAGACGATAGTCTTGTGTCTGGAGAGAATGAACGAAACATTTATTTGATGTTCTATGCGAGAAAATCGGTGAATGGTATTCTGGAGGCGCTGCGTTCGAGTGCCTCGAGCGTGCAGCGGAGGCAAACGAGCGCATCAAGTCACGTCACAAGTGAGACATGAGCGCTATCTGGCTGTTATCTTAGAGAACGAAGCGTGTGGCGTGCGCACCCATTTCTGAGGCGATAAGTTGTGGAACGCAAGCCGACGGGTAGGTGCCACCACCGCGTCATCTTAGCAAAAAGTTGGAAACACTTAACTTTTAGTGCAAGCGTCGCACTGTCAAAGCAGCGTGATGAACGCCATGACCCTTGAAATTACTTATGTACGCCTTTTTCAGTAAAAATGCAACCACACAGATCATTTACATGTTGCTTTGGTTCCTCAGATATGTGCAATAATTGTTTTTATTTGACATTCTCACATGTATGAACGCTGAATTTTGAGCAATGTCGCTGGGCGCTGCAGATAAGGTCGGCCGTGTGGGGTATTGTTTGGTGCCGTTTGGATTATCGTTAAGGGCGGACAAACAGACAAGTTTACAGACCGACAGACAGACAGAAAGACAGACAGACAGACGGACTAACATTTTTCGTCGAAGGTCTTATCGTCTTTAAAAGTGCGTGGTGCGCTTTTTTATCCAGCGGCTGTGGCAGTGTACACGGAAAGACAGTATTACACAGGCTAGTCAAAAAGCTGTTTCACATCTAGTAGAAAACTGCTTTTCTGCTTCAGTCTTTGGCTCATGGGTTTCCCCTTTCATTATATTCTTTACGAGCTCTCCACACGCTAACACAGACGAGGTTTTCGGGCAACCGACATCCTTTACTCGACTATGTTGTTGCAGAGGAGAGAATTGACGAGGCGCTGGAAGCACTTTCCTATAGCGGAACCTAAATAAGTTGTAGTTATACCTTTTTTTTTTCTCACTGGCTTTGAATGTGCTGAAAATTAGTTTCGGATTGTCATACTTGTTCTGGGCTTACTTGTTTTGTGTGCATGCAAACGTCGACGGAACATCTCATTCGGAAAGCTGACGGCCGTATATATGGGCGTATGTTCAGTGATGCGTTTCAAGAAGCAATTGGAGCACCGTAATGTAGTACACGCAACAGATGCAGAAACATCGTTCAAGTTCTGTCGGGTTTTTATAAAACACGCAAAAAACAAGTGCGCATTATCTCTACCTAAGCATATATATATATATATATATATATATATATATATATATATATATATATATATATATATATATATCAGTACTTTCGTCTGTCGCAAATTGAAACATGCCTAATTATGTGGCCCTTCCTTTGAAGAGCACTCATGGTGAAGGGGAAGTACTTAAGGAGAATGATAATAGCACTGCTGATATTCGCCATAACTGTGTATGTTGAATCTACAAGAAAGGACTGCCCCGTAAGAAATGACCGACAGGGTAAGTACTGCACCATGACTTGCTCAAGTGAATAGAAGTGAATAACGCACACACACGCGCACACACAGATATATATATATATATATATATATATATATATATATATATATATATATATATCTGTGTGTGTGCGTGTGTATATGTGAACTTCCGAGTATTGAAATGTGCTGAACAAAGCATTCATTTTGAGGGACTAAACTTTTTATGTACTACTGAAACAACGACATAGAAGACACTGACGTGCACGAAATTTCAACTTTGTTTTACATGCGGAGCATGTTATACTAGGGGCTAGTCATACGCTGTCACCGTCCGCAGCACCCCCTCCTCCTCCACCAGCCATCTGTACATTCATTCCTCCTCTCAGCACAGCGCGCAATGCTCTCGCTTCTTTTCCCCGCGCGCTGCGCGATCCTTAGTTTTACGTGAGCCAGCTGTATGCTAACGCGCATGCGCAGGCTGGGGCCGATGCTCGCTATAAATAACCACGCTAGCGACGCGAGCACTGCGTCGCTAGCATCTGCGGAGTTCTCGTCATGACGATGTACATCGCGCCCAACCTATCACGAGCCGCCGTGGAGAAGTACGTCAACGAAGCTTAGGAAGAATACACGAAACAACGACCATAACGACGACCCTTCGCGATAATGGTGACTTTAACGTCGACTTCATCAAGGACAATTGGGTAGTCGACTACATGGAGTCGCGGCACTCACTGAAACGAGCAAAGCACGACAGCAAACATGATCCGACCACGTTTTGCGGGACGTGCATCGACCACGTTTTTGCAAATTTTGACGATCGACTGCTGCAACCAGATCCACTCACCCTTCACTTTACGGACCATAAAGCCATCTTGCTCAAAATACCCAAAGCGTCTCATCAATAAACATCGTCTTTCGCAGCATACGTGCGTGCGTGTTCACTTGTGTTCACTCGTGTTCACTCATAACACACACGCATGTCACAATTTGCAAACCACAATTATCGCAGTTAAACGTATATGCTCCGCATGCTAACCAGTGTTCCCAATCAGGAAACTGTGGTCAGTTTTTTTACCCTTTGAACCAACACACGCAGCAGCGACATTGATTGAAAACATTCGCTTTATTCAACAGCTTCTACTGGGAGCGAGTGTGTTTGGGAACTGAAATGACGTAACGCGTACTAAAAGACCACCCGAACCAGTCTAGGGGCCCATCAAAATTTTAAAAACTAACAGAAAGCAAAAGCTACAGAAAGAAAAAAAAACAAATTAAGTAACAACATCGGTTGCTTTCCTGGAGTGTCGTCATAAAAGCCGCAAGAAAGAAAGCCAGAAATAAAAAAGAAAAGCAGACGGGATGAAAGAAAGATGAAGAGCGCCAGGTAGCGGTCATGTTATCCCGGCCACTTCTCGTGGCGTATGCCGTGGGGTACATAATAGAGTGGGCTGAGCAAACAACGAAGGGAAAAAAACGTGGCTGCTCCTTTTGTGAAGGAATATTTATAAAAGTGATACGTGTCTAGGCAGATCCGGTAAGCGTTTATTGTGCATGATTTTACCACAAAGGCTGTTTATTGTGCATGGTTTCGCCACAATGGTAATTGAATGAGTGCTACAACAACGAATTGTGAAGTCACGTGAACAGCAAGCAGTTCGAAACATGAAGTGCGCACCTGAAGCTGAAAGCACGCATGAAATCAGCATAGCCAGAACGAGTACAGGCTGACGCTCTGACAGACAGGCAATCACAGCGCGCTGCATAAAGAAAAAGACGCACGAAACAAACGCAATTAGTTGTGTTTAAGCAGTGTACTCCTTTCGTAAGCACGGCCGCGGCATCTGGTTAAGTGAACTTCATGCTTTCTTCAGCCACTGTGACTTGAATGAAAACTTGCGGGGAAAGCACAAGAATTTCAAAGCAGCCAAATCTCGAAATAAGCACACGCGTGCGCTCAAAGGCCTGTGGAAGCGCGCGCTCATCGCTTCGCGTAGGGCGACAATATATATAGAGCGTGCCTAACGTTCATCTTTTGCAGGGTCTCCCTACTCACCACGTAATTGCGCGGAAGTTGCTGAGCTCTGAGGACTGCCAATGGTGTATAGTTTATATAAATTTTTTTCCCATTAGGAAGCGGGTCAGCGTATATGCTCCGTGAGCAAGTGCTATCGCGCCGCGCGCTGCATTACATGAGGGGGTGGCTGCACGCCCAGACACAAAAGTTTAGGGGCGAAGCTTCTTATGCTGTGGGTCGTGCGTCTACGTTGTATTTAGTAGTATTAGTAATGGTGGCAGTAGTAGTAGGTAGCCACCTCTCTGTGCCTCTCAGTCTTTGCAATGTCCGTTTGATGGTGCTACTTGTACATGATGAATACATGATGAAAAGATGCGAGATGGTGGTTGTCACAAACGACTCCAATTTTCGGAGCATCCGCGGGCCCCACCTACCAAGGAAGGGCGCTTTTGTGTTGGGGGACGACATCCGGCGACTATAACGACCCAGCGTGGCGCCGGCTCGTCTTCCCTGCACCGGTACCGGAAGGGGCACCGGCGGTCTCAACAAGGAAAATTACTCCCAGATGAGATGGGAGCACGTGGACGCCCCTGAAGAGGTTTGAACTGCATCGGAAGAGCAGTTGACGTACAGACAGCAACAAGTGCGGTCGTCGGTGTCGCGAGTCTCGCGTAGGCGGCGAGCACGGAGTGACCCGCGCAACGTATTGAGACGGCTGCAATTCCGGGCACCCTCGTCGTCTACCAAGCCGGCGAGACCTTCAGCGGCACCCGTCGGCTCCCCTACGTGCACCAAGGGCTGGTCCGTATGGAACTTTTTATTGTGACTTTTTTTGTTAAACCGTAAACTTGTTTTAACCAGCCTTTTTTTTATAATTTGTAGTGTGCGCTGCGTCGCACGTTTAAATTCTAAAGCGCCACCATGATCATTCTGTAATTATTCCCTTGTATCGCTCTTTTCTGATTTCCATCTTGTCGTTATTTTATTAACATTCCGCGTATTTGGCTTTAGCCTGTATCTTTTGTAGTGCTCTTTTAGCATATTGTGTTATCTAGCTGTTCTTTCCATCGCGCATCAGTGTTATTCCTCTCTGTTATTTTTGTTAACTCCTGCCTTTGCCATTGTTTCAATTAAATACTTGTTTATGTGTAATCAAACTCCGTGTCTGCTCTATGAGTGCGTCAGTCAGGCCCACACATCACCACACGTGCAACCCCGCACGGGTCGACCAACCCGCAAATAAATTTGAAATGTGCCACTTCGAGGCCTTTCAGGCGTCGCAGGCCGAAGCGTAAAGTGGAAGCCTGCGAGTCTGCCGCACGTCGATGTTGGATCGGCGGGGCCTCACCCGAAGTGTGTGACATTATCTGGCGTCCGCGCGACAGGACTGGCCGACCACGTGGTGATGTTTGGGAGACTGACGTATCTCTGAGCGTGCAGTATGTAGACGTCCTTTTATTGCTTTGTTGGTTGACAACTGTGTATAGCAATGGACGACACGGTGTTTGACAGGCTTATTGAACAGGGCAAAGCCTTTGGCTTTGTAGGCAAGGAGTTATATAATTTCGTCGAAAAAGAACGAAATAGACTTAAAGAGGAGCGCGATGCCGAACGCATTAGTTACAGGCAACATCTGGAATTTTTGATGGAACAGGAGCGAGAAAATTCAAGGCTTAGAATTCAAAAGGAAAAAGAGCGCTTGGGACTGTGTGCGGCGCAGTCGGGTCTCAGCTTAGCCGGAACGCCCAGTAGCGTGACCGACCGTGTCCCGAACAAGCAGTCTTACCAGGATCATGTTCAGCTACTGCGCCAGAAAATGGAAGATAGACGGCGCATGTTTGAGACCTGGGATGCAAGGCGCGAAAGGGGCAAAGAGACCGTAGGTGCCAAGCCGCTGAGAGCCGGGGAAAAATTTTGTACTGTTCAGGCGGACATCAGGTTCGCGAGTGAACCTACTGAGTTAGCTGCTGAAAGTCCCATTGTGGCCACAAAGGCCACTGAAGGCCGCAGTGATGGCGACGAGGTGCTGTGCCTGGAAAGTCTTGTTGGTACAGAAATGCCATCTGTAATGGACTTGGCACAGCCACCCTGTTTGTGCGTCGCCATAGCAGCTAAATGTGAAGTTCGCAGTACCTCCGGCCCGGTAGGTGAGGACCCCTGTACAGAGAGCGGGGCACAGTCGGGTGCTGACGCACACTGCGAGCTGGGCAATGTTGGGGCAAGTAGTTCTTCCAGGTTCGAGCGGCGCAGCCCCGAGGAAGACGCTTGCATTGCTCAGCCGTCAGTCAAGCTTCCCGCAAGTCAGGGTGTCCACAAGTTAACGGAAAATCCCGACTGTATAGGCATTATAGCCGAAGAGACAAGCGAGACAAGTTCTGCTCTGCAAATGTTGCAAGCGGACATCTCGAAAGTGAGCACTGAGCAACGTGCAAAAAGGAAAAGACGCCGAAAAAGCAAGAACAAGAGAGAAGCGAAGGGTGTAAATCCACCCATGAAATCGAGAATTGCCAAACGGCAATCAACGCAACGAAAGCTTCGATTGCGTTTGGTGGCATTCGCCAGTAGAGTGGGTTGCCATGCTCGAAACCACCCGACAGGTAGAGGGGGGAGGCAGGCATTTGTTCGTGGGGCTCGGAAGAGCCCACCCCCTTCGCTCCATTGTCCTGCTCGAAGCGCGGGGCGCCTTGCGAGGCAGCGCCTTTCGGCCGAGCGACACCACATGGTTCGGAGACCCGTTTCCGTAGAACGCGGTGTCGATGAAGGCATGCCTCCGAGGTGTAGACTAAAGGGAAACAGGTGCCCGTGTAGCGGCCGTACACGCTTTTGTCTGCCCCGGTTGCTTCGAATGGCTCCCCCAAGAGCGCGACCACCTCGAGCGCGGATAAAGGTTACGCACATCAAAGTGAAAACGTGGCCTTAAAGAAAAAGGACATTTTTTAAAACAATGTTCCTTTCTGTCTTTTCATTTTGAAACATTTGATAAACGTTTGGAGCAATCGCTT